TGATAATTGTAAATGTATTGTATACCTAAAATGTACCAATAAATATACATATAAATAAATAAATAAATAAATAAAAATATGGTGAATTGGATTTATTTAGTTTTGACTATTGAGCCAGTTTTGCATTCTCAGGATAGGTTTCATTTGGTCATGTGTATTATTTGTTTTATATATTATTGGATTTGATTTGTTAATTTTTTATTCAGGTTTTTGGGGGGGATTTTGGGGGGTTTTTTGTTTTTGTTTTGCATCTACATTCATGAGGGAAAATGGGCTGTAGTTTTCTTTACCCATACTGTCTCTTTTTTTTGTTTTAGTATCAGGGTAATAAATGCTAATTTCATAAAATGATTTGAGAAGTTTCCCTCTCTTCTATTTTTCTGAAGAGTTCACGTAACATTGATATTATTTCTTCTTCAGGTTTTAGCACAATTTTCCATTGAAAACATCTGGGCCTGGCAACTCCTTCTTTAAAAAGACTTTACTTTGTAGAGCAGTTTGAGGTTAACAGCAAAGTTGAGCAGAAAGTACAGAGATTTCCTATAAACCACTTTCCCTCACATATGCTACCTTCCCATCATCAACATGTCACATCAGAGTGGTACTTTGGTTACAATTGATGAACCTGTCTTCACACATCATCACCCAAAACCCATAGTTTGCTTTAGGCTTCACTTTGATGTTGTATTTTCTATGGTTTTGGACATATGTATTATGACATGTATCCACCATTGTAGTATCATACAGAGTAGCTTCGCTTCCCTAAAAATCCCATGCTCTGTCTATTCGCCCCTCCCTCCCCCTGGCAACCACCTTTTTTTTTCCCCCTACAGTACTGAGGATTCAATTCAGGTCCTGAGTTTGATCCCCAGTACCAAAAAGAAAAAAAAAATGTGTACTTTGGGTTTTTGGCAGTACTAGTGATTGATTTTGAGTTTTTTGTTTTGTTTTGGTTTTAGGTTTTGTTTTTTGTTATATGTGTTTTTTTTAGATGGGGTCTCGCTATGTCTTCCAGGCTGGCCTTGAACTCACTATGTAGCCTAGGCTGGCCTCAAACTCACAGTGATCCTCCGGCCTCAGCCTCAGCCTCCCGAGTGCTGGGATTACAGGCATGCACCACCACATCCAGCCCAGTACTAATGATTGAACCCAGGGCCTTTTCACTGAGCTGCATCTTCAGCCCTTATTTTTTATTTTGTCAGGTCTCACTGATAATGTCTGTCTCACTATGTTGCTAAATTGCCCAAGCTGGGCTCAATTTTGTGATCTTCCTGCCTTAGCCTCCCAGAGTGTACCACCACACACTACCAAGCATATTTTATATAATAACAATGAACAACTGGAAACAAAAATTTTAAATACACAAAATACTATCTACATATAGCACTTCAAAAAATCTAACAGAACATGAGCTGGATCTGCGTGCTGAATACTCAGAAAAGCTGATGAAAGAAATATTAAAAGATAGGGGGGTGCCTGTAATCCCAACACTCTGAGAAGTTAAGGCATGAGGATTACAAGTTTGAGCCCAGCCTGTGCAACTTGGTAGCTTAGTGAGACCCTATCTCAAAGTAAAATATGAAAAAGGGTTGGGAATACAGCTCCATCGTGAAGGCCCTAGGTTTAAAAAAGGGAAATTTTAAAGAGACTCAAATAGAGAAATATACTATGTTCATAAGTAGACAGACTCAATATAGTAAAGATGTTAATTGT